TTTCAAGCAGAATGTGAAGAATTGCTACAAAAGTATGGTATTCAACACCATCATTCTTCCCCATATAGGCCTCAAGAAAATGGTGCGGTAGAAGCAGCGAATAAGAATTTAAAGACTATCATCGAGAAAATGACAGAAAATTACAAGGATTGGCCTAACAAAGTCCACTTATCTCTTTGGGGTTATCGCATGTCAATTTGCTCATTAATAGAAAATACGCCATTTTCCTAAGTCTATGAAATGGATGTCGTACAACCCATATAACTAAAAATATTTTCCCTACGCATTGCGTTGGAAAGTAAAGTCGATGAAGTCAAATGGACTAGAGCGAGATATAAAGAGCCAATTCTACTTGATGAAAAACGACTAGAAGCTTTACGTCATACTCAATGCTACCAAACTCGTATGGTTAGACACTTTAACAAGAAGGTCAAGACAAGAAACATCAAGTTAGGAGACTTGCTGTTAAAAGCATTATGGAAGAATGCTCTAGACCCAAGAGGAAAATTTTGGCCTAATTAGTTTGGACCGTACATTGTCAAAACCATCCTATCAAAAGTTAATGAAAGTTGTTTTCAAGTTGTTTTCATTGCTTAAAAAGAATTCTATATGTAAAAAGTTAATTTAATTTAAAAGCTGAAAATTTTCATTAATAAAATAAAGTAACAATTACAATATTAATGAAATTTTAAATAAAGCTTAAAGATAAAATTAACTTAAAATTAAAATTTTCTAATAAATTGAAAGTAAAGCAATGCTCTAATATATTTTCTCCTTCCTAGCTCTTTTCCAATTCTTATATGCTTCTTCTTCATCATCCATCACTTTTGCTAGTAAGCATCCTTTTGAAGATATACATTCAATCTGTTAATAGTTTCTCCAATAGCCATTACACCGTGCTTCTTTTCAACCCACACCTTCCTTTTTGTAGAGTCATCTTTTCTTTTCTCTTTACCTTCAGAACTCTTCTTCTTAAGCATAAAAGAAGTCTTGAATTCAACTTTTTCACCCAAATGCTTCCTAGGAGGGATTTTCTTATCCCCTAAGCGGTCTTTCACATTAGTCTTACTCAGTTTCCAAGCTTTGTTATTGTCCTTTTGAGATCTACCAAGAAGCCATTGCTTTATATCCCTGGACAAAGATGGAAAGACCTTTTGGGTAACAACTTCCCATAAAGGTCTAGCACACCAATAATCATCAAACCTCTCTACACCCTGTGAAACAGGAAATTCATAGGGACAACGAAGATAACTAGATGGAACAGTTTGTGCAAGGCCATAATGTCTCCTCACCTTGGAAGGGTAATAAAAAGTCAACTTTGACAAGGAAGGAAGACGACAAAAAGGTTGGTTATTGACACCAACCATCTTCTCAATTTTCCACCAAGGAATGACCCACTTGATGGTAAAATCGCAAGTTTCAAAGATCCTACTCCATTCCCGGTGGCCCATCTTTATGGAAAAGCACTTTTTCCGTCTTACAAAGCCATTGGGAGTATAGTTATCAACACTGTCAGGAGGGCTAATTAATTTAAGCCTCTCAATTAGCCACATTGTAGACACCCAAATGTGTCTCCCCAAAACCAAACCCAGTGATGAATATCTTTCATGTCATTTGTTATCGAACAAAGAAAAATTGTGAAAAGTCTAGTGATGAGGATGTTTTTATTATAATATCTTTTCTTTCTGTTTTTGAAAATATTTCTTTTCTTACTCTATTAATGAAAAACGTGCATTCCAGTTTTGTTTGGTCAATGATATGGGTCCAATAATAGTGTAGTTGGATGGGGCTTGAAAACACCTTTTCAACGATACATTATAAGCCCAATTTTGATGAATGATGAGGAAATTATGGCCAAAATACTCAACTGGGATCAAACCGAATTTTACCTACGGCTTAATGATCATGTGGAGGGTCCAAAGGTTTAATCCTATACCTAAATTAATTATGATTTATTTGAAGCTGATATGATTTTCTAAAAGATCTTGATTACCCTTTTTGAAAAGATAAAATCAAAGAGTTTGAAATTGAATAAAAATGTCCCTTTTTAAAATCCTAATTCTATTCAAATTTAAAGATGTTTAAAGACAGTTAACTATTATTTTTATGCCTCATAATATTTATCCAAATCTTATATGGTTGGATAGATCCTGAAATTATCTTTCCAATGATATATTATAATATTAATTTTGAATTATAACGAAAAAGATACGAATGGAATACGAAACTCTATCCAAAACCGACACCCTTCCACTATTTCAGAAATATCTTTTTATCTATAAATGATTTTAATTGGGTTGGAAAGAAGATTCCAAGAGATTTCCAAATAAATATTATATAACTTATTTGAACTTCTGGATCAAAGATATGATAAAAACAATATGCGCAAAATAGTTGTCACAACGCTAAACGACAAGTATGTCGCTTGGCGACAATACCTATCGCCTAGTGCTGCTCCTGTCGTCTGGTGATAACTTCTTTTATTTGAGAGTGGAGGTCTTTTATTCCGAATAGGACTTGAACTCTTTTCTATCGTTCCAGTGCTATTTTTTCTATAAATAGCGGTCGTATCTCCCTGTTTTTATTTATTCATAATCATCATCTCTCTCTCTAAAAGCTAGAAGCTTATTCTTTCTCTCTCTCTATTCTTTTTCTAAACCTTCCCTTCTACAAAATTCCTCATACATTAGTTCTAGACACGCCTAGCCAAGTTTGAAGTTGCCTTCGCCCTAGAAGTGAAAGGTTTGATATTTCTAAGGGTTTGGTCCCAAATCTATATTTCAGTTATTTAATTTAATTGTTTGTTTTAATATTTTCCTTGAAATTACTAACGCCTGTATTTTGTTATTAGAAAGAGGTACGAGGCATTGAAGTAAGTACTTTAATTGTTTTATTGATATTTTGATATAGAAATCATGCTTAGATTATTATTTTGATTCATAGTTTCATGTTAGGATGTTTTATTGCTTCTAGTATCATGTTTAGGGTTAACTAAAATTTCTAAAATTAAGTATGTTTATTATGATGCTTCCTATTTTTTTCTTATATCATGTTAGGGCTAAAGCTTTGATCTTTGATGTCTAGTGACATGCTAGGGTTTGTTTTTAATCTTGTTAGTATCATGCCTAGTATCTTGCTAATAATATTATGCTTTAACATGATTATTTTAATTATGATTGTTATTTTGATTATGATTATGTTGCTTGATGATTATTATTGTTAGTGCTTGATCACACCTTTTATGTTTGTTTAAAGGGAATTTTTACTTGAAATTACGCCTAATAAGATGATTAATAATCTTGTTTAGGGTTAATTTGATTATAATTCAAGTGGTCTCCAATAATAGATTTGTTTGTGCATTAATATTTAACCAACATAGATTAAACAGCTTTAGGGTAAACCTATTGATTGCATGTTAGTTAGGAAGCGCACGTGAATACGAGAAGAATAAATTAGAGGCCTATTTTTAGGGCAAGTTCCATCTCTTTTAGGTTCAATTTGTACCTTCATCCCCGAACTTCCAGTCATGGTTCTAGACCTATTGGAGTTAACGATCTCCTGGATCGTTAAGGGGTGTAACCTTCACCTTGTGAACGGTTTACAAGTACCTAAAACTTGTTGGCGACTCTTTTGCTCTAGCTTCCTTCGCTTTAGACTCCACCATGCTTAAGTGTATGATCACAGTGGGGCTCAAGTGTGGTATGGCTTGAAATATTCCCTATAGTTTTTTGACGACTCCTCTGGGGAGGATTTCAATTCTAATTCCTAAAATTTTTTTAGGCAATGATGTAGAACAAGTGGATGGGACTCGAAAAGTTCTAAGTATTTCATGTGCGTAATTCTGATTAACATTATTTGCATAAGCATAAAAAGGTTCGCATTGGAAAGACCATCTGTAATGCGTCAAAAATAGAGGATTTTTTCACGTAGGAATCTAGGAAAATATCTTTCACTACTAAGATCGAAATAATGCTACAAAAAAACTGGAAAATTCAAGAATTGAAAGCTGACGAGGGATGTAGGAATTAGCGCTGAGAAAACAGCATCAGCACCAAACGATGGCTCTGTCGCATGGTAACTATCTTGTCATCTGGCAACAGTGCCAGCATCTGGCGAAAGACGTTATTTTCTCGCGCCAAATTCTTCCACTACCGAGCCAGAAATCTACCTTCGTGTTTCGATAAGTTTTCTAGTACTGTTTGCTCGGTTTTACTTCCTTATTGAGTTTTTCCCTTTTTTCTGAAACCCATATGTGTTCTACATATGGCCATAACCCTCAGGGAATTCACGCTCCATCTACCCAATCGAACGGTCCTGGCAACAAAGGGTACATCCGATTTTGTTGAATTCACCAAACCATGGAAGCGAGTTTAACTCGCGGGGTCCTATCCACACACGCCAACCCTTTTGAAGGTAAGGCTTCCATGTGGTGCATCCGGACTCATAACCATGGACCCTCTTTGAATAACCCATATCTTGAACTTTAGAGAACTAGAGTCATGGTTAGGTTGCAAACTCATTGCATCATATCGTGACTATATGACTACTTGTGCATTACTTGTTGTGCATATTTTATGTGTTTTCCCCTAACCGTTAGTTTGACTTGTGAATGAGTTAAATAAATAAATTAATGACTAAAGTTATTTGCTAATTTAATTAATTAATTAATAATTGATTAAAGTCTAATAAATTGATCAAGCTTGACTTAGTACGACTTTTAGGTTAGTCCCTTTGGTGAAAAATACTGGAAACAGTCCCTTTAGACACCCATTTGTGTCTCCCCGAAACCAAACCCGGTGATGAGTACCTTTCGCGTCGAATCATAATCGAATGAAGTGAAAGTGTGGAAGGTCTAGTGTTGCGAATAGTTTTAATTTCTTATCTTTTCTCTCTGTATTTGAAAACCTATTTTAAGAAAACAGCCAATCCAGTTTTGTTTGGTCCATAGAAAGGGTCCAATAATGGTATAGTTAAATGGGGCTTGAAAAGAGCTTTCCAACGATATACACTAGTACAAAATTGGGCTTAAGTAACACCCATTGGTAACACAAAATTTTTTTTGGATTTTTTGATTTTTACGTAACACTTTTGTAACATTGTCGTATTAAGTAACATTTTTTGGAACACAATAATATTATGTAAGACTTTACGATAGCATTTTAATATTAGGTATCACTTAGTTGTAACATTTAATTTATACTCAATCCTTTTTATTTTTTTCTTTATTAAATATTTTTTTCTTCTAATCTCATTGTAGAAAAAAATGAGTGGTACCCTTTATTTTTTTTTATTTTTTTAATCTTCTCATTCTATTCCATCTCCTCCTCTCATTCTTGCTCAAATACCCGTTCTCTCTCTGAATGAGTTTAGATTATACAATTAATGGAGTCGCCTTCATCACTCGTAGCGTCATCCTCTGAATCATCATCATCGATCAATGCCATCATTTGAATAACAAGCAACATCATCAAATGAATCGAGAGCGAAGGATTCACAGCATACGGTACTACAACGGTGTTCATTACTTCATTATATCTTTAGTTATACAGTTCATCAATTCATTATTGCCTCGCGAAATTCATCACAAAATCAGTATTTTTCTTTCAATTTGTCATCTAGTGTTTCAATTGTCACAAATTCGCCATCTGGGGTTTCAATCGTCACAAAATCACAAAACCAGTAGCCCAGTTGAACTAGTCATCTCTGATTTCATCTAATTCGCACTTCCAATCAGGTATTCTTCCTAATTTGTGAAATTAATTAAGGCTTGTTTCTCAGTGAAATTAAAGGAAATTTTCTTAGCACTTCAACAAATCAGAGAAAAAGCTTTAAAAGCCGGTCAAACAAAGAAAGAGGAGCCGATTTCTAGGTTTGGTTTGTTTTTCTTCTTCAATAGTTGATTTTTTTAACTATATCTATAATATCTGGAATTTTTATATTGTTGGACTTCATTTATGTTTTAATCGCAATTATCAGCAACATTAGACTATGAGTTTTTCTATCAAGCTGTTGGATGTCAACATCATAGCTTCTTAATTTATTGTTCATGTTAATTATATTAAATTCTTCCATCATGCAATTTGACTGCATTTAAATCTTGCATGAAATTAGTCATAAAGTTTGATGAGAGTAGTAAATTGACATTTGAGTTAAACTCTATGATTCTGACAGAGTATTTTTAGAATTTCAGGCAAGTTTTTGCATAGGCAATAACAAAGAGCTCAAAGGAGGTATCAACCAATACCAAATTTAAAGGTTTATATAATTGTCAATCCACTATACTCTTTACCCTTATATGCTTTATAAGGCAAATAAGTAGTTGTGAAAATTACTACTGATTTGAACCTTGATTGTGTAATGTGTGTAAATTGGCCATTTAAAGAGGTATATAATTGGAATGGGAGTTTTATATCTACGCTTGGCGGTTTGGGTGCTGGTAGTTGCTACTATATAAGTGACAATTATTTCTGAAATTTTATTTTTACTCATTGCTTGTATGTTGCTGCTTGTTAGCAACTTAGCATATCAAGATTACTTGAAACATTGGTTGTATAGTATAAGTCTAAACTCTAATTACGACAAGTATATAAACCATTGAATTCTGGTTGAAAGGTACATAGTACCTATTCCTTTAGTTGATTAAATTGCATGATGGTGTGGATCAGATTCTCATTAACCCCTTGATATTGTCTAAAAAGCTTACGAAATTCCTACTTATTTTAACTACTGCAGTAATTCAAGATAGACTTATGAGTAAAATAGTATATCTAATTAAGATCATACTAATATCTACTATTTTTTTAAAAAAATCTCACCTTAATTTAATTTCTTATGTTATTTAGTAGAATTTAGAGTAGTTTGCATAAGCACATGAGTTTGCTTAAGCACATGAATTTGCATAAGTGGAGTAAGGAAAAGTGGGAGGAGGAAATGAATAATGTGGTGTTGTTTGATAATGATACTAGCTGAGTTGTTGCTAATGAAGTAACCATTCTGAGTGTTTCTGGTACGCTTTCTTTCAATTTTCATATTCCCTCTTTTGAATTTTGAGTTTAAATTTAAGATATTTATTAGTGATTATTGATTTAATTTGGGAATTTTGATCGATCAGATTATTTAGCTTAGGATATAATAGGATTTTGAAATGTATAATAGAAAAATATACATGGGTTTGTTAATGAGTGAAAAGTATATGCTAACATGAATAATTCTGTAATTATATAGTTATTTTTAGATGGGCGTGAATGGAAAAGGAACGATTATGGAAAACTTCTATTCTAAATTTGTTTGACAGTACACCAGATTTTATGTTCAAATATTTTTCTAGCATATAACTATTCAAAATTTTGTATTCAGGATTAATATGTTAGTTAAGGTCTCAATTACATAGCTCATAAATTTTTGTATATGTTTCTCGACCTTGATCATGTGCAGATGAAGCTCTAATGGCTATCACATTGTATGTAGACATTCATTACCCCGTAGCGGGATAAACCAGTTTGTTCATGATTAGCAATCGATTAGCTATTAGGGGCTACACGAATCTATTTTTTTCACATTAGCGTATGGGTTCCTGAAGTCAAAAGTTTTATGGGCTTTCCTAGTCTGGCTTGGTTTCAATTGTTTTTGAACTGGTGGCAATGCTTAGAGAAGCCTCCCATTATCGAGATATTCTTCCAAGAATATACTAAAGTATATTCCCTTGATTATTCTGCTCCACTCACCTCTATCTCTATCAATTTCTCTCTTAAATGATTATTTGAGCTGAGCTCTCTAATAATAATGGTGATCAAGAACATCGGCAGCAGGGCTCGTAAAAGACTGGCATAAAGTATTATCTTGATTAATTATGCTGGTCACGTGGTTCTTGAACCTGAGTCTCCTCCTTTTGGACCAGTTTCTGAGCTATCCATTGATCTATTAAGAAATTATAATCATGCTAAGGTATAACTTAATTTCCTTTTTTGTTGGCAGGACATAACAACCCTATATACAGTACTCTTTATCCAATCTACTAACAAAACTTTTGAAGCTATAAAGGTAATGTTTTTCATTCTTATTTGCGGGCTGTCATTCTTATCTTTAACTAAGATTATAGTGATCTTATAAAGTCTTATACTGTGGATAATTGTAGGTATTTAGATCTGAGATTGTAGTGAATAATTAATTAACTTTCTGTTTAAGTGTGCTTAGCATCTCCATTTTATCTGACGAACCTTGTACTGATGCACTTGTGTCTGCATTCCAGAGGATGTGACACCCATCTCAAACAACCAGTACTTGCAGAAAGGGAGGAACAAACAGAGGAAGGAGAAGGTTGTGAATAATGTGTTTTAACACTACTTATGTTGTGCCGTATTGATACTTAGCCTTAAGCATTGTATATATATTTTTTTATTTTTTGTGAAATTGTAATATTACAAGCATTTATTAATAAAAATATCTAAGTTTTTATATATAATGGTTTGTTTATCATAGTTACTATTTTTTTAGGCATAGAGGGTAAACCGATGCCCTTAACGGCCCATGAACCAGTGTCTATAACCTCTATCATGGGCGACCCCCAAAAAGGCGATTAAATCAGTGCCCTAAGCCGGTTTTGAACCGGTGTCTATTGTACATTACTTTGAATAAAGTGATACATAAAGACAAATATAGTGATACTATATGTCAAAAGATGATTAAAAAATTATACTTAACAATCAACCAAGTGTTAGATTAGTTTGCAAAAGTGTTACACAATGTCAACTAAAGATAAGCTAGTGTTACATAAGAAATAAAAAGTAACACTCTAAAAATGATACTAATAATATAAAAAAGTGTTACATAAGAGGGCTTATAGTAACACTTTTAAAAGTGTTACCACACGTTGCCCAAAGTGTTACATAAGACCATAGGTAACATGGGCAGATGTATCACCCACTAAAGTGTTACATATTGTCTATAATAACACTTTTATCACTTTATGTAACACTATTTGGGTGTTACTTAAAGTTAGTTATGTACTAGTGATATTATAAGCCCAATTCTAATGAATAAAGATGAAGTTATGACCAAATTACTAAACTGGGCCCGATTTGATATGCGACCCAATGATCTAGAGGAGGGCCTAATACGGATTTATCATTCCTAATGCAATTAGAATTGATTTTAGTCTTCTAGATTCTTCTAGAAGGGTCTTTTCATTCCTAATTCAATTAGCATTGATAAATTGACTTTGGTTGACTTTTTAGAGTTTTAATCAGAATAAAAGAGTGCTTTTAAGGAAAATACGATTTTGCCCCTCTGTATTGCTAAATGTTATTAGAATTAAGAAAACGCGTAAAAATAATAATTTGCGCATGACGACAGACATTAGCGCCTGGCGCTAATGTTCAGCGTCTGGCGCTAATCTGTTTTATTCTCGTTGAAACTCTGATTTGTTTTTTTATCCGTTTGACTGATTTTCTCTATAAATTGCCTCCTAAAACCTTCGTTTTTCATCACCAACACTGTCATCAGTTCTCTCTAATTCTCTTATATTCTCTAGTTTTCAAATTCTGTCTAGTTTTTTTTAAAGAATTCTTCTCTCTAATTGTCTATACAAAATTCCGCATTCACAAGATCAAAAAGCACCTAGCATAATTTGAAGTTGCCTTCGCCCTAGACGTGAAAGGTTTTTAATTTCTGAGGGTTTGGTCCCAAATCTCTCTTTCAATTATTTAATTTAATTGATTTGATTATTATATTCCTTGAAGTTACTAACGCGTGTATTTTGTTATTAGAAAGAGATACAAGTCATCCAAGTAAGTGCTTTAATGGTTTTATTAATATTATGATATAGAAATCATGTCTAGGTTGTTATTATAATTCCTAGTGTCATGTTAGGGTGTTTTGATCTTCCTCGTATCATTTTTAGGGTAACAACTAAAAATTCTTAATATCAAGTATGATTAAAAGTATGCCTCCTATTTTCTTTCCTAATAGCATGCTAGTATCATGTTAGGAATAAATATTTGATTTTTATTGTTTAGTGATATGCTAGGGTTTGTTATTAATCTTGTTAGTATCTTGCCTAGGATCTTGCTATTAATATTATGCATTAATATGATTTTGATTATTATTATAATTGTTATGATTATTTTAATTATGATTATTATAATGGTTATGATTATTATTATTATGTTGCTTGATTATATTTATTGTTATTGCTTGATCACACCTTTTATGCATGTTTAAAGGGAATTTGTACTTGTAATCACGCTTAATAAGATAATTAATAATCTTGTTTAGGGTTAATTCAATTATAATTCAAGTGATCGGCAATAATAGATTTATTTGTGCATTATATTCAACCAACATAGATAAACAGGTTTAGGGTTAAACCTATTGATTGCATGTTAGTTAGAAAGCGCACATGAATACGATCAGAATAAAGTAAAGGTCTATTATTAGGGAAGGTTCAATCTCTTTTAGGTTGGATTTGTACCTTCATCCCCAAACTACCAGTAATGGTTCCTGACCTATTGGAGTTGACGATCTCCTGGATCGTTAAGGGGTGTAACCTTCCCCCTGTAAATGGTTTACAAATTCCTAAAACTTGTTGGCGACTCTTTTACTCTATCTTCTTTCCCTTTGGATGCCACCGTACCTTAGTGTATGATCAAAGTGGGGTTCAAGCTAGGGATAATTCTTGAAATATTCCCTACAAATTTTGGCGGCTCCACTGGGGAGGATTTCTATTTTAATTCCTGAAATTAATTCGGCAATGATTTAGAATGAGTGGATGAGACTCAAAAAGTTCTAGTATTTCATGTGCGTAATTTTGATTAAAATTATTGTCATATGCATAAAAAAATCTCATTGGAAAGACCATCTGTAATGAGTTAAAACATAGGATTTTTACACGTAGAAAATTTGAGGAATATCTTTCACAACTAGGATCGAAATAATGTTGCGCGAAACTGGAAAATTTTATCGAGCACTAAAGTGCTGAGGCATGTAGGAACTAGCGTCAGGGAACAAAGTCTAGCACCAATTATTTGACGTTCTGTCGCCAGGCGCTAAAGCCAAATTATGGCGTTGGCCTCTGTTTGCTGGCGCCAAGTTCTTCCAATACCGATCAAGAAATATGCGTTATAATTTCGACCAATTTTTAGCACTGTTTGCTCGATCCTACTTCCTGATTGAGTTTTTCTCACTTTTCTGAAACCCATATGTGTTCAACATATGGACATAACCCTCTGGGAATTCATGCTCCTTCTACATGATTGAACGCTCTGAGCAACAAAGGGTACATCTGAGAATGTTGAATTCACCAAACCATGGAAGCGAGTTTTTCTAAACTCGCGGTGTCCCATCCACTCGCGCCAACCCTTCACGATCAGGCTTCCAAGCAGTGCATCCGGACAATTAACCATGGACCCTCTTTGACTAACCCATATCCTAAAATTTAGAGAACTAAAGCCATGGTTAGGTTGCAAACTCAATGCATCATGTTGTGACTATTTGACTAATTGTGCATTATTGGTTGTGCATACTCTATGTGTTTTTCCTCTATGTGTTTTTCCTAACCGTTTGTTTGACTTGTGTTAAGATTAAATAAACTGATTTATGACTAAAAGAACTTTGCCTAATTAATTAATTTGAGTAATAAAAGTCTAATAATTTAATCAGAGTTGACTTAGTACGACTTTAGGCATACCCTGTAGAGTAATAATAACGAAAGCAATTTCAGATCGACGTTCCAGTAATGGCGCCAAGATTAAAACTGCAGCACCACTCTGTGGAGCGTAGCGCCTGGCAATAATCCTGTCGTCTAGCGCTACACTACAAAGAGAGGCGTCAGTCCTGTCGTTTTGGCGACAATTCGGTTTGTTGCTCGAGTCATCACCTTATGCCTAATTGAACAGTTTTCTAGTCAAGTCATTAATCGAGTCTAAGCACTAAATCCCATGGTCTTACACAAGAGTCAAAGCATGTCACTTACATTCACCACATAAAGCACATACTAATGCACACTTTGACCATGTCTAAAGGAGTCTTGTATGCGCGTATTTTCCGTCATTTTTTTAGGGGGGTAAGTCGGATATTAATTCTCCAATTAAACCACTTGTTTGAACCCTATACTTAATTCCCAAAAATGCACACCTTATTTTTGCCAAAAATATTCACCCTAATATGAACCCTATTTTTGCTTTTTTCTTTTTCAAAACCCGTAAAGTCAAAGTCAATTTGAGTCAAGTCATTAAAACAAAATGGTTTAATTTTCAGCGCGTGGTCAAGAAAGGAAGGGCATTTGATCAAAGACAACCTTTTAATTTAAGTTCAACTTTTCGACAAACCGATCGCTCGTAAAAGGAAATCTAAGACAAAAATGGCAAATCAAGAGGAAGTTAATGAGCTCAGGAACCAATTGATTAATGTGACTGAGGCGTTAAAGGTTTTAACCCTCAAAATCGATGATCCTGTGAAACAACAACAGATGGACCTCATGCAAGAAAGTCTGAGCAAACTGTCTAGTGACTATAAGTTTCAAGGAATTATCTCACAAGGGGTCTCGGTGGACAAGGATCTTCTTCCGCAGAAGTTCAATGGCAACGACATCCCGAAATTCAAAGCGACGGACAACCCTTACTTTCACCTAAGATCCTTCGAAACAATAATGAGTATTAAGGGTATTGACAAGAAGGTGTTTCCCTCTTTGTTCTCCCTATCTCTCGAAATCGTTTGCCAACAATGGTTCTTCTCTCTTGAGAAAGAAAGAACCTCTACTTGGGAGTTTAATGTAAACGCTTTCATTGATAGGTACAAGTGCAACATTCAAGTTGAAACTAACTATAAGGAACTTGAAATCCTCAAGCAGAAGGAGAATGAAGGTTTCACTTCTTTCTTTAACAAATGGAGAGAAACCTCTGCTAAGATGATTGAAGTACCAAGTGAAAAAGGATCCGTAAGACTATTCATCAAAAACCTTCAAGAGAAGTACTCCAAGCATCTCAAATACCAGAATAATCTTCATACCTTCAAGGCCGTCCATGACATTGGAATCAATATTGAAGACGGCCTGGCTAAGCTGAAAGCTGCTAACAGTAACTCCAACAGTGGCTGGAAAGGCAAGAAGAACGACAATCCTTCTTCTTCCAAAACCACCCACTCAAACAATGTTAGTACCTTTAACTTAAGTGAAGTCCTTGCTATGAATAATCAAGGAAAAAAGAAACCATTTAGGAGGAATTTTACTCCTATAGGTATGAGTTATGACACCGCATTTGACCGATTAAATGCAAAAGGTCTCATAACTCCTATTGGACCATTTTGAGACCCACTGGCCGAGAAGAGGACGGCTAATTGGAACCCTAATGCACATTGCAAATATCACCAAGGTAGGGGCCATCTTACCGAAAATTGTTGGAAGCTTAAGGAAGCTATCCAAGATTTAATCGATAACAACAAACTGCCATTGCCTTATGCCAGT